CCCCCAGAGCCAGGCAGGGGAGGAGACGTGGCCAAGGGCCTGGGGGGGGCAGCCACGGAGAATCCGGAAGTCTCGGGAGCCCTTATTTGGCCCAAGGAGGTTTCCCACTGAGAACTTTGCCCACAGAGGAATCTCTGCCACACAGTATACGAAGCTGCCCCCTTTAGAGGCAGACAGAGGACCGAAGGTGCAGAAAACACACACACACACACACAATCCAAGCTGCCTTTTGAACATGTTGTGGGCTTCCCCCAGTTCTCTGCCCCCAAAAGGCTGAATCAGGCCCCCCACCCAAGAGAAACTCCCCCTCTCTCCCACCAAGCACAGGCCAGGGGTGCCTTCCCAGACTGGGCAGAAATCCTTCCTGGTGAATTTAGCCCAATTAAGAACATTTCCCAATTAAAACGAAGTTAATAAAGCCCAGTCATGCAGCCAGATTTAATTCTGAAGAATGCACCAAGCTTCCAGACACAAAACTGCGCTGCCTTTCATTTGGGGCCTCTTTAACTCCAAAATTGCCGAGAAGGAAAAAAGAACAATAATCAGATTCTTTTGCTAAAATAAAGGAGGCATTTGAACAACAAGCAAAGTAACACCCTGCTCCATTTCAAGATAAAGTAAACCAAACCCTTTTAGTATTACTTTTAAATTTAGTATCCGTTTAGTCCCTTTTAAAGTCTAGTATTATTTTCAGTGCTTCTAAACGAAGTCTTGTTCCTCATGCGGCAGGCATTGCAAGTGGAATGCTATTGCATGTTGCCTAACCACCAAATGCTCACAGACACTGACGCCATTGCATGTGGACTGACAATTTCAACCTCGTGACCAGCCTGTCCTAAATCCTGAAACTTCACAATATAGATAAGCCAATATCCATCCAGACATTTAAGGAAGCCCTTTGGAATTATGCAGCCATAGATGTCACAGAACAGAATTTTTGGAAGCGCAAGTCGATTTTGGTCCGCACTTTCCCACTCAACTTGAAGGACGTGGAATCAAAAGTACGGGTTTTCCTTCTGGGACACCCAGAACCAGGCATTCGTTCTGCCTTGCACAAGAGGAGAGTGAACGGAAGGCCAAATTTTGCCCCAGGAAGAGCAGCGTTTGGCAGACTCCGGAGTCTTCTCTGGAACAAAATACGCAAAGGACAAAACAGGGACTAGCAACTTACTATTGAACCTTAAAGCAAAGGCGGAGAGGGCTCGTGTGAATGCAGCAGAGCTAGCGCTGGGGACGGAGCCCCTGCATCAAATGGGGGGGGGCGGGGGTGCACACCTCCTTCCTCTCCTGCGGGCTGCCAGGACAGGGAGGTCCCGGGCTGAGGGGAGGGGTCGACGCCCCCCAGGCACAGCCCCTTCCGCAGCGAGGCTGCAGCACCGGACGCTCCGCTGTGCAAGCGCAGCCCTCGGCAGCCCCGCCAGCCCCAGAGCAGGGGTCTGCCGCTCCTCCCGGCGGAGGCCCTGCCCTCCCCGAGCGCGAGGCCG